AAAGTCGTCAGTTATTTCCTATTTCTTAACTGATTAGGTCAAGGATAATGTGAGATAATTAATTAATTATTGAGGTGGCTATTTGATGTGATTTATATAATTCAATCAGTTGATAACTAATATATATGACTTTTTTTCCATTCTCTCCATTATCTTTGCACTCATTGAAAGACTCTGAAGGTCTAATAGGTTGTATGTCTGCCTACACTCAAGATAATCGAGTTATCACAATTAATTATGGATTCTTCAAATATGCATATTACTTTACTTAAATCTTATTTGATTTATATGAATTGGGATATGAAAGTTAACAAATCAAGCTAAAGAAAACATGTATCGCAAAAAAGAATATGTATTATAGGGAAAAAAAACAATGCATACATCAATTAAGAATTCAAAGGATTGAATACAATCAACTAAACCAACAATCATTGCTTGGACACTTGTACAAGCATTGCTGACCTGCTTCAACGCCACCGAGTTTGACAACAATAGCATTTTATATGCGAGACCAAGATCAAGAACATTCTGACATCAATATAAAAGGAATTTATTAATAACATAATATATCATTCCCATTAATCAGAATATAAATCCCCACTACCTGATTAAACACCTTATAGTCAAGAAAAATGAAAAAAAAAATGCAGGGGAATAGGAGAGAGGAAGTACATATGGATAGAAGTCGTCTTAGCGAGAGATAAAAGCATAGTTGAAGTAGTTGTGTGACAGTCATCGATCAATATAAGATGTTTGCACTTTATTATTTCAGGAAAAATTACATCTAGGTCTCACATAAGAAAATTTATTATCAAGAAATCCCATAAAATTAATAAAATACTCTCAAGTCTCAAATCTTGTATATTTACAATATAAATAAGTACATTTACAACTAGGCAATGGCACTTAGTTGTAAATGCCCTTACCCAAGTTGTAAATGTGCAAGATTTGGGATTTGAGAATATTTTGTTTATTTCATGGACTTCTTGGTAATAAATTCTCTTAAGTGAAATCTATATATAATTTCTCCTTTATTTCCAACAGTGATACTTTACGTACTCTCACCTCCAAAATGCAGACCCTTTCATTGATCAGCGTCATCTTTGGGCAGTAATGGCTTGAGTACCCACCTTTATACTCTTGTTTATTTCCTGCAGATAGTAAGGAACACCATATATTATACTCATGATTTGATAATTCGTTTTTCTCAAGCTATTTTGTATGACGATGGTTGGAGATGCAGTTTTTGCAAGGACATTAATTCATAATTATGATTTAGATTAATAAATTGCAAAGACTTTCCTGCACTGGAAGTACGAAGCTTATTAATTTAATTTGTTGTTTTTTGTCATATAAATATGTGTTGGATTTATTTATTTATAATTATAATTATGATTTATCTCTTGGTTTGAAATCGATCTCTCCTCAACTAGCAGTGTTATATTTGACTAAAACTTTCTAATGCATAGAGTAGTATTATAATTACTCTAGTTTAAGTCTGTACTGCATATAGTACTCTTGGTGTACTACAAATTAAAGTGGAAAATAGGCTAAACATACAGCTCCAGTGAACAAGTTTAGTAAAGTCTCTATAAATGTTGGGTTACCACCCTTGTCCATTTACCATCGATTACTTGGCAAAATTTCTCCGCATGACTCTTATCAGAACATGGAAGCTTTTCTCAGTCTATATTAGTTAAAAGCAATCTAATGTTTCCACAGGGAAGGATGAGGAGATGGCGTTGAGTTTCAATGCTCATTAAGTGATGAGCACCAAATTTTTAATTTGGACCATCTAAATTTACCAGTTTTATTTTTTATTTATTAAAATAAAAAATATAAAATTTTAATAAATCTACCTTATCATTAATCTAAACAATGTAGATTTGATCTCTCTCATACCCTCTCACATGGCCACTTTCTCTTTAATCCTTTTTAGTAGTCCTAAACAAGGAAACCTATCAAACTAATTAAATATTAATCTATTATGATGGAAAGTTAAGGTACTCGTCTATAGCAGATGAGCAATTGACATGCAAAAAATAGCAGACTCTTTTTTGAAAGCTACACTCTCACCATGAAGTAAAAAATAGCAGACTTTCAAAGTTAACTCATCAAAACAAACACTTATTTCTGATTGGCACCCTAGCACAAAATTAAGCGATTCCTGTCCAAAGAAAGGAAACTCTGTTACATTATCAGTACATTTTAATGAGATCATCACGAACTGAATACAGGCACGTGTCTTAGCGATGCAACAAAAAATTATTGTATCATAAATGCAAGTAAATCTAATTAATCACAAATTGATCCCTACTATAGAAGCCAAGTATATGATTATATAAGTGATAAGACTACAGAAGCTTTTTTGCACCACTCATCCACTTGAGGATGAACTTAAAACACACGAGTTTTAGAGTTCTGACACGCATTAACTGAGTTTCATAAAAAAAAGTGCTTTTGCTAGGTTTCTTCATATTATAAATATGAAGAAATTAATGAATGAGTCTAAACAGTTAGTTAAAGTCTTTGACCGCTGTAATCTTCCTTACATTATAAATAGAACCTCATTTAAGTGAACGAGTAAGAGATTAACGAATTGCATTCGTTATTTTACCTAATGTAAAATTTTTTATTTGACATTAGTTTTCCTTTGAGGTCTTTACTTGTCATTTTTCCTAAAATGTTTTACCTCTACTCTAGCCTCTGTAGAAACTAATACTTCTTTCTATAGGTAAAAATTGGAACAACACGGGAGACTGAATTACACTTGGAACTCAATCTTAAGAAAATTGCAAATTCACTTTGGACAAAGAAAAGAATTAGAGTGCTTAGAGGGGGGGGGGGGTTATGGGCATGTTTCGTCTGTTTTCCCTTGAAGTTGAAATTAACTCGTGCAGTTTTCATCGTGCACGAGGTTTGAAAAATAATTTGTTCCCTCAAATGCCAAAAGGAATAAATTAGGCCTCATGACCGTAAAGGCCAAATGGGCCTAGCCCAAATCCACCAAGGGTGGTCTAAATATCCAACACAATTAATTTAGAATGATTAACAAGTGCATATAAGCAGCAAGTAAGATTGTTTTGATTCAATTACCTAAATCTAATTAAAATGTCCTAAACTAACGTTCATGCCGATTTCAGTTTTGTATGGTAAAAAAAATAGGTGATAAATGAGAGTGTGTTTTGCCACAATCAATGGAGTGATCCCAAGGAGTGTGAGTGAAGCAGTCATCATTCAATTGAGTATGCAAAGCGATGATGAAATTCATGAATGATTGAAGAGTGAACTCGTTAGTTGTGTTAGGATGAGTGAGAAAGTGGATTTGAAACTAATTAGACATTTTATTAATGGAATGTTAATGGAATGGAAAGGGGATTACCACAAGAAAATGTAAGGGAGTGGAAAGTTGTAGAAGTGGAATGTAGGAATTGGGCGTGGGAATGAATTGAGCTATGGGGAATTTGAGAGGAGGGAATGGAGATTAAATTGAGTATTTCAAAACTAAAATTGCATTTAGATAGGTGAATTTACATTAAAATTTAGATTCTATTTGGTTACTAAAAAGGAATAGAATGAAATAGATTGAATAAATTAAAACAAAAATGAATTAAATATATATAATCACCATTCTTCTCATAATAAGTATAATAAAACTCATTAATATATATTAGAAATGTGAAAATCATCACAATCTTTAAAAATCTCATGAATTATAATTCTCAACCTAATGAACTAAATTACCCTTTTTCCCTTATAATGTGCTCACCTATTCCTTTTGATCATCTTATTTTTACCTTCATATTTTGAATTAATTCAATTTCATTCCTTTTTAGTAAGCAAATGAGACTTTATATTTAAAATATCACATTTAAAATTAATAGATTTTAAAGGGAATTTGAAATAATGGCTGAAGAACAAAGTGAATAATCAGAAAATAAAAATAAAAAATGAAATAGAAAGTGACAACTAATTAAAGGAATAAAACAAAGGTAAATGAAAATAAGAAAATGAAATCTCCCCATTTGTGTTCTTGTTTCTTCTCTTTCTTCTAACGTGACCACCACCACTCCATCAATCTAATCTCCAATTAAATCCTTAGGCGGCGCAATTTTTTTTAAGTTCCATTGGTGACCAATTGATGTCTGTAGTGCACAATTAATTCTAAGTTACCTACACATAGAAAAATTGCTATATGTATTTTGGAGAATTAAAAATAATATTCAATAAAATAATAAAAAAATAAATCCTAGAAATTTTGTAAAAATATTTATTTGCTCTCTAATGATAAACGTAAATCAATTATACCTAAGTATACCAAAACATGTGATAAAAAAACTAAAGTTAGTGAGATAAAAGTGTGTAAATTATATGTGATTTATGGTTATCACTTTGGAGGTCTTGAATCTTATAATACCTAATTGGAGGCATTAATTTTTGAGAACCTATATGTGTGCTACCTAAGTTTGTGTGTGGAAAAATTTTCTACTAAAGTTTGGATGGTTTGTCTAAACTAATTTAGGCCAATAAATTAAGGTGAAAGGATTAACTAATTGGCTAGGAAAGTCTCTGAAACTCACTCCCAGGAATCTCATTTGCATTGATAAACAACCATATCAATTCACTCTTGCTTCTTTAAAATTGGAAAGTCAAACAAACACTAGTTAGTTTTTTTTTTATGCACTTAGGTAAATTAAAATCAGTTCAATTAATGGTTATACACCCCTTTAATTCAATTAAACTTGACTAAGTTATATCAAATTCTAATATAGGGAAAAATTATTTGGTCTCCCATAAATTGAACGTACTATAATTCCTTGCAATTTGGCGTTTATAGCTAAATTGGAATAATGTTAATTAAATGGTAGGACTTGTGATAAATGATTGGGCTGCAAGAGGAAATTATTCTAAAAATTTAAAGCGAGTCTCAATCATATAATATTTCTTAGTTTGTAAGACTGAGTGAAGATTACAAAAACAAAACAAATAGATTACAACATAAATATTATTGGATAACATGATCGCAATACATAATACGTGATCTAACTAAAAACCAAAAAAAAAAAAAAACTAGCTGTCATCCTTAACCATGACAGTGAATTATGTAATTAGAAGAAGAAAACAAGAAATAGAATGCCTTTATAACACTATTCGATTCTTACGCTGCACAAGCTGGAACCGTCCCTGTAACTGTGGGCTTAACATTGGCACACTTAGCAGTTACTTCAGCTCCATTGAATGTGAGATTAATGTTATTAAGTTGAACGTTGTCACATGGTACTCCGCTACTACAGATAAGAAGTACTCCTTCTTGAGTTTGAGAAGTGCCGCTAATGTTTGTGAAAGTCACATTACTTATCTTTATCTTTGATGGGGTCTAATCCATTATTGAAAACATGCAAAAAATATAGACAAAAATGAGAAGCCACTGACACTAGGAAGAGAAATGACAATGAAGAGTTTGAATTATATTACATACCGATTTGTCGCATTGATTTGATGGGCAATATTCCTGATCTATGATCACAGGATTTGAGACATTATTCATAATAATATCTTCAAAATGCATGTCAGACACAGTAATAGCTCCTGGAGTGCCAGGCCATGTCTTGATCCTCACACCATTCATTGTGTTAGAAATGGTGCAGTTTCTAACTTTGACATCTGATACTGGTGCTTCATTATCGTATCTACCAAGACTTCCAACGCTAATGCCATGGCCAGGTCCACAATACACATTCACCACTGTTATGTTAGTGTTACCATCACCTAATGAGACACAATCATCTCCTGTACCGATATGGGTATTTGCAACAACCACTCCATTTGATCTTCCGATATGAATTCCATCCGTGTTGGGGCTATCTTCAGGTGCACTAATATTGAACCCATCAAAGTTGAAATTGTTGCATGAAAGAACATTAACATGAAAATTTTTGCTATCTTTTGAAGTTACGCCCTTGACAAATGAATTGTTGATGAAGTTGAAGCCAAAGTTCTGTTACATTTGACACAAAACTAATGTGTTAGGAGAAATCCTTTTCCATGATGTTGGTGGCATGCCATGTTCTTCTAACGTATTCCTTTGTGTATGTGCTTTTCTTTTAATAAATAGAAAATGTAGACACAAGGGAAAATATGTGTTTGGTATAGTAATTGGTAAAAAAAACTAGAAATGCACATGATACACATTCTCTCATTTTTCAAAGAAGCACATATGCAATCCAATGCAAAGTTCATGGATCATGCTTTTCTTCTAATCATGAGATGAAAGAACCATATTAAATTTTGAAAAGGAGAGAATGATCATATGATTTCAGATAGAAGAATATATATATATATATATATATATGTTTGGATGTTATTTACCATGGTAGGCCAATCACATTTAGGATTATGAATACAATCATTTGCTTTCCAAGCAGCAGGACCCTGTCCATCAAAAGTTCCGGTTCCTGACAATGTGAAGGCATTGACATATCCTATTTTAACCCATTGGTCTGCACCTTTTAGTTCAGCTGGGTCTGCTGGTGCTTGAATTAAACCATCAACTTGTAACTCAATAGAAGGAGCCTTGCATGGGCCTCTAAGATCCACTGCATTCATCATGTAAGTTCCTGCACCTACCAAAATTTTGCTAGCATCTGTGGCAGCACATGCATCTGTCCATGCTTTTGTGAGAGCCTTCAACAGAACACATTCACAAACAACATATTAGTAATGAACACAAAACTTTGTTTTGATTTAGATCTGGATTTTGGATTTAAAATATCATAATATTTCAAATCTCAAGTTTCAAATCCATGTATTTAAAATACTTTGTTTGGATTGTAGTTTAAAAATTTTTAAATGAAGAAGAGAAAAAAAGTTGAAATTTGAAATGAAAATAATAAAAAATAATTGGGAATGGTGAATTTACCTTTATTTTTCAATCAACAAGAAATTATAATGAAAAATGGAAAAAGAAAAAAAAGTCAAGGCATCCATAGTGAAAAGGCGAAGAGAACAAGATTTGAAGCAATTAGAATTTTATCAAATGACTAGAGTATAAAATGAATTTGAAATTACAAAGAAAATATAATAAGAGATGGATTTGGATTTGAATCAAATCAAAATTTATAAATTTTTGTACATTCGAATTAGAGATTTGGTTTAAATCCAAATTCAAATTCAAATTCCCACTAATCCAAACACACCATAAGGTTATAAACAGTAGACTTATGTTTATGCTATGGCATTACATCAGTTATATCACCATCAGGTTTTCCACCGTAGCTAGCTATGTTAAAGTCTGCTGCTTGAGAAATAATGAATGAACCCAGAAATAAGAACAAGGCGCATATGGTAATACTCATTTTCCTCAACATTGTCATTAATTCTTTTTGTATTGTGGCTTTTCTCACTTCTTGTTTCTAAATGTTGTTGGCAGATATGATCAAAACGTATTCGGCAGATTGCTTTTATAATCTCAACACATAGTGCCATAAATAGTCAAAGGGCTAAAACCGATCAGAGACCATTAACTTGCCAAAACACATGGAAAGAAGACGTCCATTCGAGCTAAAAATGCCAAAACTGAAATGTGGGAGTGAACAGAAAACAAGATTTTGTTCAATAAGTGTCTCTTCAATTGTATTTGACTTCTATTTATGAATGCCCCAAAAACAGCTACTACTATTTTTGCAAATACTTCAATATATAATATAATAAAGAAACAAACATGTTCCTCTATCTGCCTTTATTAATTGCACAACCTACTCTTCATGTCCTCAATACAACATGTTAAATTACCCTTTACCTATGTGATAACGCAGATTTGGAATAATCAATTATCAATTATAGAGACACTAGATAGTTAAAAAAGGGGGAAAAAAAGAAACTTTCAAACATTATGTTAATTTTTTTATAAAAATATAAAACTTAATGACAATGTATTTTTTGAACTTTTATTTTTATTTTTTTAGAATCCTAAAGTTAAAGTTTATTCTCAAATTTTAATTTGTTTCTTATATCATAAAAAGCTAAGCTAAAGTACATATAATGACAAACCATTGCAATAAATTAATATAGTGTCTTTTTATCGTACCTGAAATTAATATTGTGTCTTTAAAGTTACAATAGTATGCTGGTCCGAAAAAAAAAAAAGGTCACAATGGTATGGGGTATCTCCAACAGAAAAGGTATGGGTATATAAAATAAGACACGTACAATTATATAATATATACTGGGGGCGAAAAGGTAGTTCATCAATCTAACTTGATCAGTTAGGGTTCTATTGATCGCCTTCAAAATACAGAAATTTTGACAAAAGGATTATAATATGAAGTGAAACTCATTAAGCTTATTGTTGCGCACAACAAATTATAGAAGAGTTAAAGGATAAAATTTTTTTCAAGCAATGCTGTTCTGAAGCTTTAAAAAAATAGTGTAATTTCATCCCACCGTAAAACTGTTGATAGTTAAAAAAAATCTATTTGACCAAAAAGATGACAAATGTCATAAGGAATGGTCTCATTTTTATTTTCACTTGACGCATGCTCCTCTGCAACTTTGGTTGGATTTATCCATCAATAGCCTCAACGAAGAGATACCCGCCCGTTTTTCCAAATTAAGGAACCTAACTTTGATCGGTTTGCACAAGGAGATCATGGACTTTGTTGGTGAAGGAGACGTTCCGACAACACCTGCCGAGCTATTTCGTGTTGTCGCATCGCAGCAATGACAAAGATGGAGCTAGGAGGGTATGCAATACCAGCAGATAGAAACATGGAGTTTCACACGGAGTGGTTAATAAAGGATCCGAGTATGTGGGAGAATAGAGTCGAGTTCCAATTATAACACCCCGATACTAAAGGTATGATTGGCATGAAATATAAAATGAACTCACATTCCATAATGTCACACCCCAATATTAAGAGTATGACTGGTATGAAACATGAAAGAGATAAATTCATATTCCATGAGTCTTAACAAACCAAAGGTTGAGTTAAAATGTCGATAATTAGTTTATACATTTAATTTTAAAGTTTGAAAAATCTTAAATATTTTATGAAAATTTCAGCAGAATCTTCTTTGTAAATTAAACCTTCCAAAATTTCACAATAGTAAATTAGACTTGCCGAGCTATTTCGTGTTGTCGCACCGCAGCAATGACAAAGATGGAGCTCGAAGGGTATGCAATACTAGCAGATAGAAACATGAAGTTTTACACGAAGTGGTTAATAAAGGATCCGAGTATGTGGGAGAATCCAATCGAGTTTCAATTGTAACACCCTGATACTAAATGTATGATCGGCATGAAATATAAAATGAACTCACATTCCATAATGTCACACCCTAGTACTAAGACTATGACTGGCATAGAATATAAAAGAGATAAACTCATATTCCATGAGCCTTAACTAACCAAAGGTTGAGTTAAAATGTCGATAATTAGTTTATGCATTTAATTTTGAAGTTTGAAAAATCTTAAATATTTTATGAAAATTTCAGCAAAATCTTCTTTGTAAATTAGACCTCCTAAAATTTTCATAATAGTAAAACCTATCAGTCAATTTAGCACAGGAGCCTAGCTCCATACCAACAAATTATATATATATATATATATATATCAGCAAAACAAAACTAGGACCTAACCATGATATACATGGAGCATTAAGTTACACTTACATAAAACACCACATTTATATTAAAATACCCAAAATTGCTTCCACGGTGCAAAAATGATATTGTCCCTTAATGATCGGCAGACATATATTTAAGCAAACAAAGAAATTATAATTTAAATTATAAAGATAATAACTAATAAATTTAATTCAAAATGACTTAATAAATGAAATATATATTTAAGCAAACAATAACTAACGAGTTTTCTTAATAATGTAATCGTGAAATTAAATAATACTATTAGAATCAAAAAAATATATTAAAATTTATACTACTCATAGAATAAAATTAAAAATTTCAATGACAATGCAATTCAATAAAGTATTTGTAGAGAATTAATAGAGAAATAATAAATTTTAACTTAAATTCAAGAAGGCTTTATCAGAATGAATAACAAGCATGGACACACAATCCATGAGAGTAAATAACCAATCAAGTGAGGGCACACAGTCCATGAGGATAAGTAACTAGTTAAGTGCAGTTGAAAGCCACAAAATAAGCGCGGTAGGCGCCATGAATCAAGCGTAGGTATGTAATCCATGAAAACAAGTGAGTACGATGCACACGAATAATCATCCCTCTGTTCCATGTGCGTTGGCTCTTGCACGGGGCTAGGACCTCCTACAAGCACCCTACTAACTGAGTATACCATGACGTGCTAAGGGCCAACGAGATTGCTGTTAACATCCAGTGTTTTGAAGTTAGTCTTCCTTAATAAAATCAAGCATGTATGGACCAAGAAAATAATTTCAAAATTTTCTCTTTTAAACACCAATCAACCATCATTTTTTTTATTGTCCAAATTTATCATTATTTCATTAATAAAATAATGATAAAAAATTAGGATTAACAATGATATTTGTACAATTTATAAAAGAATAATAGTACAATTTAAATAAAGGATTTTATGAACATTTTACTAGAAATCTATTCGAAATGCTACCCAATCACCTGAGAGATTCCAAGAATTATAACGCCTGACTCCCTCGAATCCTCACTTACTTTAATGACTCTCCGAATAATATAAGCATAATCCAACAATCCTCCCGTCATTACAAATTTTCCTTCTTATAATACACAAGCAAAATTAACATTTAAAATTTTTAATATTCTCAAAAGTTTCTCATTATTCTCTTAAATTTTTACTAAATCCTTCAATAATTTCTATCAAGTAATCAACAACACAAGGCAGCATTCAACTACCACCATTGATACAACTCTTATTTCAAGTTAAGACAATCTTAATTATCATTTACTCTAATAATTTTACTTTAGGTGCTGTAAAATTTTAATAGTAGATCAACTTTACAATTTATATGAAGACACATGCTTTCTCAACTAATAAATATAACTTCTCTAAGCTCTAATATAAAAATTAAATAATTTTACTCCTACCAACTTTTTCTTTCAAACATTTATGCATGCACCTTGGAACATTTATCATTGACCAAAATTATAAAATGAGAATCCAAACAATTTCAACAACTTTCAAACTTCCAATTCCACAAACAAATTTAGTTCACTGTCATAACGAAATAACATCCAACATTAATCGAAATTACACCATAATTCCTTCTAAACCTTCTAGACAGCAGCAATAAAATATAGGTGTAGCATCAATCAGCCAGAGGAAGTAAGAATGATGATTCGGTGCTGCTATAGAGATCGAAGAGGAAAGAGAAATAAAACAGCCACTCACCTCAAACGAAACAGCAGTAACATCACCATAAACAGCACCTAAACGACGATGTAGAAGGAAAGGAGAAGTACTTCACTCTGCTACACTAACGAGAAGAAGAATCAATAATTTCTAGCCAATAAAATATATAATTCAAGCTACCATACATACTCGGACTTCTAGCTATGGAAGGGAAGAAAAGAAAAGAGATAAACACGCACGCAGGCACCTCTGTCATCACAAAACAGCAAGGAAATGAAGAGTAGATTCAGCCAATCAATTTGAGAGAAACAGACGAACACGAGAGGGGAAGGGAGTGAACAACTTTCCGACAAGGAGAAGACATCCACGCTCATAGCAAAGCCGAAGTTGGTGTCACAAAAAGAGAAGAAAACAGAGAACAAATGCAAATGCTCTCTCACTCTGTACTGTAAATCTAACCGAGAAAGAAGAAGGGAAATTTAAATAAAGAGGACCATGGGAAAATTACAGGACAAGACCAAAGCTTGTGGAGAAATTACATAATAATTTTTTTTTTTTGCACACAAGCGAGGGGCACTTTAGTACTTCCTCCATATAAAGAAAAATAAGCTAATCTTTAGTTTAAGTAAGATTTGAATTCTAAACCTCCATATAAGTAATTAGTACAAATTTCACTAGGCCAAGGCCCCTTATGTGCTATAACTAAAATAATTAAATAACATATTGATAGGAAAGGAAAATTATTTAATTTAAATTTTTAGGTTATTACACATAAGCCTTAATTAACTAGAAATTAAGCTAAAATAGCAATATATGTAAGTTATATATAATAGTAAAATTTGTAAAGTTTTAAATTTTTTTTTTTAAATTTTGGCAGAATCTCCTCTATAATTTGGACCTCTTGAAATTTTCACAATAACAACAAAACTTGCTAATCAAACCAGCAAGGAGACTAGCTCCATTCCAATAATTTTTTCAATAACAAAATAAGATTAGGATCTGACTATGTGTACGTAGAGCATTAACTTATAATTTACAAAACACAATATAAGATTTCATCAAAAAGATTAATCACCGTGTGCTTCCTTT